TCTGGCTGAAAAAAAGAGGCTGAAAGACCATCTAGTTCAACCGTTAAAGAAAAAAAATAAAATAAAAAAGTTATAATCCTTTACCCACAGTTGACCCAGAGGAAGGCAAAAAAAAAAAAAAAAGAGATCTGACTGGTATTTCTATTTTGTTTGATTGGTCGCTGTTCTTCTTTAAAGCTGAACTCTGGGGAAAGGAAAACCATTCCCTTTCATTGGGGCTGCCCCCTGCACTGCAAGTTAAATGTTTATTTCTAGGGGACCACAAAAAGCAGTTTTCAGTTTCACCTACCCAATCCTCCTCTTCTGCTGGCTGCTAGACAGGTTCTGGCAGCTTCTTCTCCCCAATGCCAGAGCAGTCGCAGGTCATCTGAGGTCATCAAGACTGATGCAGGCAGTCCACTGCTGGAGGTTAGGGTAGTAGAGGAGAGCACCGGCTGCCGGGAGAAGAGGTTCAGGTATGATAAACTGCTTTCTCCATCCCCTAAATCAAAACAAACATTTAAAAGTATAATTAAAAAACAACGATTTTATTTATTCACTTTTTGATAGAGTGGAGAGGGATTAGATCTCCTGTCAAGTTGTATTGCTGTGTGTCCCTGTTAGTGAAATTCACCCTCTCTATTTGCCCTGGTGACTGTTATTACTGAAAGTGAAGGAAAATCCCCAATTTTGCATTGTCTCTAGAACAGGAATACAGGGGAAATCTTCCAACAGAGACTCTGAGTGCTGGAGGGATTTCCTATCAATTCCTGTTTTAGCTATGGGAAAAGAAGTAAAGGGGGCACAGATGGGAAGAAGAAAAACCTGACGGGTTATAACCCTCCCTTACTCTTTGAATTAAAAAGAGTAACCTGCATAGAGTAAGGTCCTTAATAACATATTAATTTATTATTGTATTGTACTTGCAAAAGAACTTGGTATAAGTGCATATCACAGATCATCCATAAAATCTGAAATATCTCCAACCAATGCTGCATTATTGCCATCATAAGCACTGCCTCAGTAATGCATCCTGGCTTAGGAATCTTAAGGTCGCACCTTCTTCATCAGAGCTCATTCTTACTCTCTTAGTCTAGCCAAAATGCTTGGAGATGGGCTTTAAAGAAGAATTCCAGATATGAGTATTTTATACATAGTTACATTTTTCTAGCTTGGACCGGGGTAACTTCAGTGATCTCTACTTGCTTCTGGGTCCCATGCAGGACAACTGCATTGGGAAGAAAGTTAAGCGGGTGGCGCCATTCAGAGAATGCTTTGCATTTTCTGAAATAACGCAAAGTGTTCTCTGACTGAAATGAAGAGCTGGAGAGCAAGACACCACTGCCACATCTCTCCACTTTGTCCAATCAGAGAATGCAAAGCAGTCTTGGAGTGGTGTCCATGCCAAGCAGGCTCCATCCTATGTTTACAAAGCAGCAGGGCTGCCACTCAGGACCTGGAAGTGGAGATCTCTGGAGTAGTGGCGTTTATTTCAGTGATTACCAGCTTCCAGAGGGATCAGCCAGGTATGCCATATACATAGTTACATAGGTCCAGGCTGGAACAATGTAACCATGTATCAAATATTATACCTGGAATTCTTATTTAAAGCAAAGCTAAAGTCCCCCATTTGAAAACTGTAAACAGGCAGCTCTTTACGGCAGAAGAAACATGCTATGTGTCTGCTGCAATATAAGAAACCTACCTGCCTGTCACTTCTATTTTTAATATTGAAAAGCCATAAAAAAGGAAAAGCAGTGATGAAAAATAATACATTTTGGATTTGAGTGATGATGCTGTGCACAGGATTCCTCACGGTGGGTGTTCCTGGAAGTATGAACTGTCAACTATTCCAAGCGCAGTAAGAGCCATCCATGTAGTGATTAGAAAGATATAGAAGACATAACTCCTGACTGCTGCTGTAATTAACACTTATGTAGTGAATCCAAGTACCTCAAAAGAATCAGCGCTGTGAGAGTATAAACCTTGCTAGGAGGTGTACCTTTATTGCATTAAAAGGATCACAATATGTGCGGTAGCCTGGGCAAGATGGAGGACCCATTCGCTCCTTCGATGTAACGATGTAGGTAGTAGAGAGTGCTCCTGTGCCCTGGTGGTGAAACACGAGACTGAGTCTGCCTTGAGCTCCTCCTGACTTCTGGAAGCCACGAGAGCCTTCCAGAACATAGAAATCCATCCTACGGAATAGCTAATTAAAGGCGAAACGCGTTGTCTAGAATACCGTCCCTGGCCACCGGTTTGAGTTCCAAGGCAGGATCCTCCCTTCCACTTCCTCCGAGATCGCGATGATGTCAGTTCCGGGACGCCATGGTCTCGTGTTTCACCACCAGGGCACAGGAGCTCAATCTGCCCTACATTGTTACATCGAAGGAACTAACGGGTCCTCCACCTTGCCCAGGCTACTTCACATATTGTGATCCTTTTAATGCAATAAAAAAGGTACACCTCCAAGCGAGGTTTATACTCACTCTCACATCGCTGATTTTTTGAGGTATCAATCATCTATACAGTGCGCATATATATATATATATATATATATATATATATATATATATATATATATATATATACACACACACACACATATACACATACACACACACATATACACACACACACACACACATATATATATAGTTACATACATACACACACACTGCCTTGAAAAAGTATTCCTACCCCTAAAATTTTCTATATTTTGTCATGTTATAGCCAAAAACGTAAATGTATTTTATTGGGATTTTATGTGATAGACCAAAATAAAGTGGCACATAATTGTGAAGTGGAAGGAACATGATAAATGGTTTCTGAAAAGTGTGGCGTGCATTGGTAGTCAGCCCCCTTTACTCTGTTACCCCTAACTAAAATCTAATGGAACCAATTGCCTTCAGAAGTCACCTTATTAGTAAATACAGTCCACCTGTGTATAATTTAATCTCAGTATAAATACAGATGAATACTTTGAAGAACCACCTTTCACTGCAATTACAGCTGCAAGTCTTTTTGGGGATGTCTCTACCAGCTTTGCACATCTAGAGAGTAAAGTTTTTGCCCATTCTTCTTTGCAAAATAGCTCAAGCTCTGTCAGATTGGATGGAGAGCGTCTGTGAACAGGAATTTTCAAGTTTTGTCACGGTTTCTCAATTAGATTTAGTTAATCGATTAAGACAGTGCTCCTCACTCATAATATACCTCTTCGTGTATCAGAGACAATTTTCATCTATATTTGTGCAAATAAAGGAAAAAACAATAATTAAATAAATATTGTGGTGCACTAAAATTATACCATGCAAAAAACAGGGACTCAATGTCTATGTGAATAAATATATCAGTAACTGTCCAAAGAAATGTCCATAAAAATATATAGTGAGACCATAAATATATATATTCTTCAGAAATCCTTGGTATTATTGGACTTCTGTGTTGTATAACCCAACACCCCACCCACATGAAATCCACCACCAAATTACACTCACCAGAGCTCCGTGCTGGTTAAGTTATAAACCAGCTAAAAGCGCTTTGGCTCTGGGAGCAACGATTTGCAGAGGCACACGCTGACTATTGCAACTCCTTAATTTGAATCTTCATGCACTCAATTGGGATCATCAAGGAAAGAAAGGGAATCTACATAGCGTAAAACCATTGTATTAAGTTAAAAGCTTCAGATCCACTCACATTGAAGTGTCACAGCCGACACTAGCATAAAACACATACAATAAAGTTGATCAAAGATTTTCTCTGGTCACAGTACTGACATTGGCAGCTCACCCATACGTGGTGACGTCACCTCTGAGGCCCTGTCCTACATGTTTCGTCCTCCAGAAGGCCCCGCTGTGGATCTCTGCAGCTCCTCCAGAGTTACTTGACTGCTTCTGACTAATGCTCTCCTTGCCCCGGTCTGTCAGTTTAGGTGGATGGCCATGTCTTGGTAGGTGATGGATTAAACAGTGCTCCATGAGATGTTCAAAGCTTGAAAAATGTTTTAAATAACCTAACCCTGCTTTAAACTCCACAACTTTATCCCTGACCTGTCTGGTGTGTTCCTTGGCCTTCATGATGCTGTTTGTTCACTAATGTTCTCTAACAACTTCACAGAACAGCTGTATTTGTACTGAGATTAAATTACACACAGGTGGACTCTTTTTACTAATTAGGTGACTTCTGAAAGCAATTGGTTCCACTAGATTTTAGTTAGGGGTATCAGAGTAAAGGGTGCTGAATACAAATGCACACCACACCTTTCAGATATTTATTGTAAACCATTTATCATTTTCCTTCCACTTCACAATTATGTGCCACTTTGTGTTGGTCTATCACATAAAAAAACATTTACGTTTTTGATTGTAACATGACAAAATGAGGAAAATGTCAAGGGGTATGAATACTTTTTCAAGGTGCGGTAATGTGTTCCCCTTTCCTGTCTCACCAAGTTATGAGGCATTGATGGTACACGGTGCCAATCATCCCAATCATACCGCCATTTTGGATCAGCACGTGATGTCATTTGGATGTCACCATTATACTGAAGCCTGTGTGTTGATGTGTACAGCTCTGTGTTACAGGACTACCTGAACATTCTCCATGTGGGACACCTTCTAGAAGACATTGAATTACAGCCACATGACCCCGGGGAGACCCTCCACTATCACCATGGTGAACACAGCACAGCTCAGGAGAGGGATCACATCCCCGCACACTGGAGGGGGTATATATACAACACACACACACACACCACATAACATCCTACCATTCTGGAAATAAAACAAAGAATGATAGCAGACATGGGCAGCGTGACCCCAACAGTGTTGTCACCACCTACAACCACCACCACTACACCCCAATACGGACATCACCCACCTGTGAGCCAACACAGCGGAACCCTCTATACAGGGACACAGCGGAACCTATACTGAAGGACAGAGTGCGCCGGAAGTGGCCGGTATGAGACGCAGAGAGGCGGAAGAGAGGCAGACCGACTGGTAATGTGATTGAATGTAGAGATGTCTGTGAAGAGGAAAGCAGAAGGAGCGATCCCGGCTGAGGAGAGCGACCAGCTTCTTATCAGACCTCTGTATGTCTGACAGAGCGGTTTTTATATACTGCATCCCCCCATACTGTGCCTGTAAACTGGCTGTACCCCCCCAATACTGTGCTCTGTAAACTGGCTGTACCCCCCCCCCAATACTGTGCTTTGTAAACTGGCTGTACCCCCCCAATACTGTACACCCCCCCCCCCAACTGTACTCTGTACACTGACTGTACCCCCCCATACTGTACTCTGTACCCCCCCATACTGTACTCTGTACACTGACTGTACCCCCCCCCAATACTGTAAACTCTGTAAACTGGCTGTACACTGAGTGTACCCCCCCCAATACTGTACTCTGTACACTGACTGTACCCCCCCCCATACTGACTGTACTCTGTACACTGACTGTACCCCCCCCATACTGTACTCTGTACACTGACTGTACCCCCCCATACTGTACTCTGTACACTGACTGTACCCCCCCCCATACTGTACTCTGTACACTGACTGTACCCCCCCCATACTGTGCTCTGTGTAACACTGACTGTACCCCCCCCATACTGTACTCTGTACACTGACTGTACCCCCCCCATACTGTGCCAACTGACTGTACCCCCCCCCCATACTGTGCTCTGTACACTGACTGTACCCCCCCCCCATACTGTGCTCTGTACACTGACTGTACCCCCCCCAATACTGTACTCTGTACACTGACTGTACCCCCCCTGTGCTCTGTACACTGACTGTACCCCCCCCAATACTGTACTCTGTACACTGACTGTACCCCCCCCCCCATACTGTATACTACTGTACACTGACTGTACCCCCCCCCCCCATACTGTGCTCTGTACACTGACTGTACCCCCCCCTGTACCCTGACTGTATACTGTGCTCTGTACACTGACTGTACCCCCCCCCATACTGTACTCTGTACACTGACTGTACCCCCCCCCATACTGTGCTCTGTACACTGACTGTACCCCCCCATAACTACTGTGCTCTGTACACTGACTGTACCCCCCCCCATACTGTGCTCTGCTCTGTACACTATGCTCTGTACACTGACTGTACCCCCCCCCGATACTGTGCTCTGTACACTGACTGTACCCCCCCCCCCCCGATACTGTGCTCTGTACACTGACTGTACCCCCCCCCCTCCACCCCCCCCCCGATACTGTGCTCTGTACACTGACTGTACCCCCCCCGATACTGTGCTCTGTACACTGACTGTACCCCCCCCCCGATACTGTGCTCTGTACACTGACTGTACCCCCCCCCCCCCGACTGTACTGTGTGCTGACTGTACCCCCCCCCCGATACTGTGCTCTGTACACTGACTGTACCCCCCCCAATACTGTGCTCTGTACACTGACCCCCCCCCCGATACTGACTGTGATACTGTGCTCTGTACACTGACTGTACCCCCCCCCGATACTGTGCTCTGTACACTGACTGTACCCTCTACACTGACTGTACACCCCCCCGATACTGTGCTCTGTGACTCTACCCCCCCCATTCCTATACACTGTGTGCTCTGACTGTACTGTACCCCCCCTCCCCATACTGTGCTCTGTACACTGACTGTACCCCCCCCATACTGTACACCCCCTCCATCATACTGTGCTCTGTACACTGACTGTACCCCCCCCCGATACTGTGCTCTGTACACTGACTGTACACTGACTGTACCCCCCCCCCCATACTGTGCTCTGTACACTGACTGTACCCCCCCCCCCTGTGCTCCACTGACTGTACCCCCCCCCCCCAATACTGTGCTCTGTACACTGACTGTACCCCCCCCCCCCCCCCCATACTGTGCTCTGTACACTGACTGTACACTGACTGTACTGTACACTGACTGTACCCCTCCCATACTGTGCTCTGTACACTGACTGTACCCCCCCCCCCCGATACTGTGCTCTGTACACTGTACACTGACTGTACCCCCCCCCCGATACTGTGCTCTGTACACTGACTGTACCCCCCCCCCCCCATACTGTGCTCTGTACACTGACTGTACCCCCCCCCCCATACTGTGTGCTCTGTACTGTACTGATACTGTGCTCTGTACACTGACTGTACCCCCCAATACTGTACCCACCTGTACCCCCCCCCCCCCCCCTCCCATACTGTGCTCTGTACACTGACTGTACCCCCCCAATACTGTGCTCTGTACACTGTACTGACTGTACCCCCTCCCATACTGTGCTCTGTACACTGACTGTACCCCCCCCCCCATACTGTGCTCTGTACACTGACTGTACCCCCCCCATACTGTGCTCTGTACATACTGACTGTACCCCCCAATACTGTGCTCTGTACACTGACTGTACCCCCCCAATACTGTGCTCTGTACACTGACTGTACCCCCTCCCATACTGTGCTCTGTACACTGACTGTACCCCCCCAATACTGTGCTGTACACTGACTGTACCCCCCCAATACTGTGCTCTGTACACTGACTGTACCCCCCCCAATACTGTGCTCTCTGTACACTGACTGTACCCCCCCTCTGTGCACACTGACTGTACCCCCTCCCATACTGTGCTCTGTACACTGACTGTACCCCCTCACGTACTGTTCTGTACACTGACTGTACCCCCCCCCCCCCCCCCAATACTGTGCTCTGTACACTGACTGTTGACTGTGTTCTGTACACTGATTGTACCCCCCTGTACTGTGCAAAGTACACTGGTTGTACCCCCCCATACTGTGCTGTATAAACTCCGTGCAGCAGAGTCCTCAATGTGTATCTCCCAGACTATTTTGTATAGACTGAGTCACTTTTGAACTTTTCTCTTGCTAGTTTGAACTAATATTTCAGATATACTTCCTGTTATCTTTAGTATTCCTTAGACCAAGCAACAGTAAAAAGTGATCTAATTAGTCTAAGCACATAATATACTGTACATGGAAGTCATTGTTCACTATTTTATCAAATATCTTCTGTTTATTATTATTTGCACAGAGGAGCTGGACAAGAAGTTGGAAGATCATGTATTATTTTAGAATTCAAAGGAAGAAAAATTATGGTAAGTGAAATTATTGGGGACTTGTTTGTGTTTAGAAATCTTGAGAGCTAATGCATACCATGTCTTCTTTAAAGACCTATCAAACCTTCAGTTTATATCGGCTAAACCAGGGCTTGACTAAAAAGTAAGGAGCCAGTTTTTTTTAGCGTAGGGTGGTTTGTCAGTGCCCGGGGCAAGGCAAGCAATTTGCACCATGTAACCCCCCTAACCCAAACTTACAGCAGAGCAACCAGTCAATAACCCCGACACAATGCCTTATAGGCTGGCCAGAAAGAATGACAATAAAAACCTGTTATGGGGGAAACTCTTTATTATTATGTTGATTGTCCTTTCACCAATTTTCACAAATTCACCCCCCCCCCCCCCCACAGACACACACATCATTCAGAAATCCCCCCCCCCCACAAATTCGGTCCCCTCTATAAAATTTGCTCTATGTCCATGGCTCATCCACCTCTCCTCCTAGGACATGTAGTTGGCTGGCCGTGATCTTCTGTCTCCTGTCAGATCCACTCCAACACAGCCTGAGAATCCTGGGATTGGCCAAAACCCACACACACCCTGATATCCCGCCGCGATGGGTGACAGCAGCAACGAAACGAGTGTCTGGGCATAGCCTCCGAGGAGGGTGGAGAGAGGTCAGAGGCCACACTCTTCTCTCATTGTCCCGGAGCAGCTCTGGCAAAGTTGGGAGTCAGCGGTCAGGTTCGTCCTTCCATCCACCTTGTCCGCTGTCCTGTCACATCTCCCTGGAGCGGCGCTCAGAGGCCGGCTGACAGAGTGATGGGGGTGAGATTAAGGGGCTTGGGGAGGGGGGAAGGGGAGGTGAGAGAGAGGGGATGAACGGGGGAGACTCCCCTATCCTCCCACATATCAGGACCCCCCCCCAAAATGACACCTGTATAATGTTCTACAGCTCTGTGCCTCTAATGTAGCCAGATCCTATCAGTAGGGTTCCTTGATTGCTACATCAGTCATGGTGAAGTTTTCTGTGTCTTGTCATGTTATCTAATAACATGGAGTCCTCTCACCTTCCTACTGCCCACTGGCTCCATCGCCAGCTCAGGATCGTTTCACTCTGTCACTACTTCATAGGTTGGGTGCCGCCTCCTCTCTCGCTACCGTCACCGACAGTCCCCTGCTCATCCTGCCTCAACAGGCTCTCCTCACCCCTCCCGCCGCCAGGCCCCGCTTCAAACCTCATTCTTGTCTGAATAATGTTTCTGGATTTCAGGCAGAAGCATTATTCAGGCCAAGAGTGAATGGGCTGACAAAAAGCCTAGGTGCCAGGACGCAATTTCTAGTCGCCATGGTGAACTGGCGCCTGGGATTTGTCGAGCCCAGGGCTAAAACACATTCCACATGTATCAAAACAAATGTTTGCAGTTGATTTTCTTTCTAATCCACAGACTAAATATAAAAGCTTTTCATCTCCCCTTACTCTCTGTGGGAAGCAATGACCTCTATGTGAAGGTCCACCTTTCCCTCCTACTGAGTCAAACCAGAGAAAGTAAAGATCCTTCCGTAAATAATGCTGGCAGGGAACAGTGTTTCTGTTCAGGCTTTGGCTTCCAACTAAAAGACAAAATGGACTGTAAGACTTTGTACACCTTTTGTTATGATGCACTGCAATGTATTTAGCTGATTTAAACTGAAGGTTTTTAAGGACTGTATATCCTTGTTATCCAGTTTTTTGCTGGAATTTGCATATGCCTCTTGGCATTAGAGTGAAAGTACAAGTCCTATCTAGTGTGTGGCATGACGTGCTGGGACTTTGTAGCAGCAAAAGCTTGTCACCGAACCCAAATCCTCCCATAAAATAAGGCAGAGTTTGAATGTACAGTATCTGCCAGAAGTGAGTCCACCCCTCATATTTTTGTAAATATTTTATTATATCTTTTCATGTGACAACACTGAAGAAATGACACTTTGCTACAATGTAAAGTACTGAGTGTACAGCTTGTATAACAGTGTAAATTTGCTGTCCCCTCCAAATAACTCAACACATAGCCATTAATGTCTAAACCGCTGGCAACAAAAGTGAGTACACCCCTAAGTGAAAATGTCCAAATTGGGCCCAAAGTGTCAATATTTTGTGTGACCACCATTATTTTACAGCACTGCCTTAACCCTCTTGGGCATGGAGTTCACCAGAGATTCACAGGTTGCCACTGGAGTCCTCTTCCACTCTTCCATGACGACATCACGGAGCTGGTGGATGTTAGAGACCTTGTGCTTCTCCACCTTCCGTTTGAGGATGCCCCACAGGTGCTCAATAGGGTTTAGGTCAGGAGACATGCTTGGCCAGTCCATCACCTTTACCCTCAGCTTCTTTAGCAAGGCAGTGGTCGTCTTGGAGGTGTGTTTGGGGTCGTTATCATTCTTATCATATCCACCCATCCACCCATCATATCTTGCAGCCCAGTCTCTGAAGGGTGGGGATAGACTCTGCTTCAGTATGTCACAGTACATGTTGGCATTCATGGTTCCCTCAATGAATTGTAGCTCCCCAGTGCCAGCAGCACTCATGTAGCCCCAGACTATGACACTCCCACCATGCTTGACTGTAGGGAAGACACACTTGTCTTTGTACTTCTCACCTGGTTGCCGCCACACACGCTTGACACCATCTGAACCATATACGTTTATCTTGGTCTCATCAGACCACAAGATATGGTTCCAGTAATCCATGTTCTTAGTGTGCTTGTCTTCAGCAAACTGTTTACAGGTTTTCTTGTGCATCATCTTTAGAAGAGGCTTCCTTCTGGGACGACAGCCATGCAGACCAATTTGATGCAGTGTGCGGCGTATGGTCTGAGCACTGACAGGCTGACCCCCACCCCTTCAACCTCTGCAGCAATGCTGCCAGCGCTCATACGTCTATTTCCCAAAGAAAACCTCTGGATATGATGCTGAGCACGTCGGCTCAACTTCTTTGGTCGACCATGGCGAGGCCTGTTCTTAGTGGAACCTGTCCTGTTAAACCGCTGTATGGTCCTGGCCACTGTGCTGCAGCTCAGTTTCAGGGTCTTGGCAATCTTCTTATAGCCTAGGCCATCTTAATGTAGAGCAACAATTCTTTTTTTCAGATCCTCAGAGAGTTATTTGCCATGAGGTGCCATGTTAAACTTCCAGTGACCAGTATGAGAGAGTGAGAGCGATCACACCAAATTTAACACACCTGCTCCCCATTTACACCTGAAACCTTGTAACAGTAACAAGTCACATGACACCGGGGAGGGAAAAAGGCTAATTGGGCCCAATTTGGAAATTTTCACTTAGGGGTGTACTCACTTTTGTTGCCAGTGGTTTAGGCATTAATGGCTGTGTGTTGAGTTATTTTGAGGGGACAGCAAATTTACACTGTTATACAAGCTGTACACTCACTACTTTACATTGTAGCAAAGTGTCATTTCTTCAGTGTTGTCACATGAAAAGATAGAATAAAATATTCACAAAAATGTGAGGGGTGTACTTCTGTGAGATACTGTATATGTCTTACATGAACTCTCTCTTCTATTTTTGTATGCATATGTAGTAATCATTATTTAATAATAATTTTGTCATAACAATGCCATGTTGTACAAAGATTCTAGAGAAAATGAGCCATAATTTCAAGTATATAGTGCTTTTCATTTTTAAGTGCTAATTATTTTGTTTCTTCTTTTAGCTGGACTGTGGGATTCACCCTGGCTTAGAAGGAATGGATGCCCTACCATATATTGATTTGATTGATCCTGCAGAGATTGATTTACTTCTAATTAGTCAGTAAGTAAAATGTTAGTGGTGAGCCCATCAGGTCGGGTTGTAAAAAAAACATGCATTTAGTTTTGACACCGAAGAGCTGGCCTTCCTAAGGGGACTTTTTGTGCAGTAAGATGTCCACAAAAAGTTAATTCAGTATTGATTATTAAAATTGTATATTTATTAAGGTAATATAAAAAGTCTCTTTTAGAAAATGAGGACTCAGACAAACATATAAAGGCGATTGTACAATAGAAAATAATGATCAGTATTTGTATAGCTCAAAGGAACCTATAAAGTAGAGCGCTGTGAGCAGCACCTGACACGTTTCAAGAAATGATCTCTTCTTCGGGGGTATGTTCTTAGTTCACAGTTCTCTTCTTACTTGGACTGTTTTTAATATACCAAAAGATGTTAAGGTGCTGAAATATGCTGCCACCCCACAAGTGTCACCGCAGATGGTTGACCCAGGATCCCAGGTGTTCAGCCACATTGAAGTCACCCATATGGAGAGAAGGGCACCACCGAATTCTCAGAGTATAAAAATAAGTTATGTCCAATTTAATAGTGTAAACTCAGGGCCAGCAATATTGGGATGATGTTAGTCTTAAGAGATTTCTTTGACAAATATAAGCCGTGAGGAATTTACGAGTTTGTACACTGGCAGACACCGTGGTCCAAGAAAAACATTGTTCAAATAATGGTCATGTTTATATCTTTCCCTTGCTAGTTTCCATTTGGATCACTGTGGAGCTCTACCTTGGTTTCTCCAGAAGACCAGCTTTAAAGGCAGAACCTTTATGACGCATGCCACTAAGGCGATATACCGATGGCTTTTGTCTGATTATGTAAAAGTCAGGTAATTCAAACCACTATTATATACTTTTTGTTTATCTTTAGCCAATGTTTTCTTACAATCCGTGGTAGATAGCAACATTATGTCTGGAGATGTCAGCTATAACAGAATTACTGAAAACTGAAATATCCTGATTGGGTAGCGCTGACCTTTAAGGTTTAACCAATATGACCAAGCAAAGGACAAATTAATAGAGTCCACTGGCTCACCTGATAATTAGCGATGCAGATTCTGTAACCTAAAGCATAGAAACATAAGAGAATGATCAATGGTATAGGACCTACTGATAAAAGTGGTTATTTAGGGATCCATGCAGCATGACTTACAAAAGTTTATAATAAAAACTCATCAAAAATAATCTAACACATAAAAATAGAAAAATACCGCCTTCACCTTTCACCACTAAAATTTGACAACGTTGTCAAACAACCATGAAGTCCGGACTGCAGTACCTAATGAGCCAGTTTATCATACTTTTACAATTGAACTTCCACAGTAGATGATGCCAATATTACAACAAAGCCTCCAAAACCCATTAGTAAACACTATTAAATTCTAGGTACAAATGCCTGTAACAAGAAAGGAAACTTTACTGTGCTTCAGCTCGGTGGCGTTCCTCAAAAAAATACATATATGGCCACTAGTATACAATCGGCAATTATAGAGCTCTAAACTGCTATGAAAAATATATGGGACTCGTAGTATGGTATATCCAAAAGTCTGAAGTGAAAATCCAGAAATATATTGAGCATTATAGATGCAGTCAATCTGCCCTGTAGTAAAATATAATGTCCCTGAAGGATAAATGCATCGAAGTAAGTACAATATAGCCAAAACAAGCAGAAGATATCAGCACATTAAGAACTCTTTCACATAGGTGTCGAGAAAAGGTGGTTGGGCTGCGTTTTTAATGCTTCCCGAATGCCTATCAATGGCACTCAAAATTGTTACAGTAGGGAGCTAATGAATGTGTTCACACTGCAGCGTTAGCGTTGCTTCGCGTTGTTGGGAGGCAAAAATAACGCTGTCTGCAGAGTTTGGCAGGTGTTAACTCTTTGCAACTGCCTCCATTCACTTCTATTGAAACGCACCAAAACCACACTTTAAATGCACTGTAATCGCACCTGTGATGTTTTTACCGTGCAGTTGCAAAGCGTCAAGATTGATCATTTCCCATTTTAGCCTTGTAAGAAAAAGAAAAAAAAAAAAAACACACAGGGCTCTTGTGAAGTGTTGTTCCCTGACGCAATGTGAATGCCTGTATGACATATGCAAAATGCTCATTAATGCTATAGGTGCATAGATGCGCTTTTTAGGCTGCTTTAAAATGTAATCTCAGTGTGAAAGAGCCAATAGTGAAAAAGCAGAAGGAATAGCTAGAAAATAGTAGGAATTTGCCAAGCTGGATAGCATGGGAGCATGCAAATCAAGCTGTAATCATTTGTCCTTCAGTCCAGGATTGGCAAACAGTGGGGAAAATAATTATCTGACCCCCTGCAGATTTTGTAAGTTTGTCCACTTACAAAGTAATGGAAGATCTATAATATTTATCATAGGTGTATTTTAAATGATAGAGAGAATATCAACCAAACATCCAGAAAAAACACATGATACAAATGTTATAAATTGAGGTGCAGTTCAGTGAGTAAAATAAGTATTTGATCCCCAAGCAAAACATGACTTGGTACTTGGTGGAGAAACAGTGGTAAAACGTTTCTTGTAAGACGAAACAGAGGTAAGACATTTCTTGTAGTTGGTTACCAGATTTGCACACATCTCAGGAGGGATTTTGGTCCACTCTTCTTTACGGATCTTTTCTAAATCCTTAAGATTTCTTGGCTGTCGCTTGGCAGCTTGAAGTTTCAACTCCTTCCATAAATTTCCTATAGGATTAAGGTTTGGAGACTGGCTAGGCCACTTCATGTGCATCTTCTTGAGCCACTCCTTTGGTGCCTTGGCAGTATATTTTGGGTCATTGTCATGCTGGAAGACCCATCCACAACCCATCCTTCAGTGTTCTGGAAGAAAGAAGGTTCTCATCCAAGATTTTACAATACATGACCCCGTCCATTGGCCCCTCAATGCAGCAAAGTTGGCCTGTAACTTTAGCAGAGAAAAAGTCCCAATGCATAATGTTTCTACCTCCATACTTGACTGTAGAGATTCTGTTCTTAGGGTCATAGTCAGCATTTTTATTCCTCCAAACATGGCCAGTCGAGTTAATGCCAAAGAGCTCAATTTTGACCACAGCACTTTCTCTGTAATCCTTCTCTGAATCATGTAGATGTTCATTGGCAAACTTCAGATGGCCCTGTACATGTACCTTGAGTAGGGGGACCTTGCGGGTGCTGCAGGACTTCAGTCCATGGCGGCGTATTGTGTTACCAATGGTTTGTTTGGTGACTGTGGTCCCAACTGCCTTGAGATCATTCACAAGCTCCTCTTCTGTAGTTCTGGGCTGATCCCTCACTTTTCTCATGATCATCCTTACCCCATGAGGTGAAATCTTGCATGGAGCTCCAGACTGAGGGCAATTGATGGTTATTTTGTATTTCTTCCATTTGTGAATAATCACTCCAACAGTTGTCTCCTTCTCACCAAGCTGTTTGGTAATGGTCTTGTATCCCATTCCAGCCTTGTGCAGGTCTACAGTCTTGTTCCTGATGTCATTTGACAGCTATTTGGTCATTTGCCTATGATGGTGAGGTTGTAATGGAAGAAAGAAATTCTGTGGACAGGTGTCTTTTATACACATTTGTTGTTAGGAGCATCTTCTTTGACAGGACTAACCTGTGTACCACATGAGCACATAGCTAGTCTGTGGGAGCCAGAATTATTGCTGGTTGGTAGGGGATCAAATACTTATTTTACTCACTGAACTGCAACTCAATTTATAACATTTTGTATAATGAGTTTTTTCTGTATTTTTGGTTTATGTTCTGTCTCTATCATTTAAAATACACCTGTGATAAAAATTATAGACCCTTCATTTCTTTGTAAGTGGGCAAACTTACAAAATCTGCAGGGGATCAAATAATTATTTTCCTACTGTAACTTATGTATGAGACACTGAGTCCCATATGTTTTTCATAGCCATTTAGAGCTCTATAATTGGCAATTTTGTGTGTGTGTGTGTGTGTATGTGTGTGTATATATATATATATATATATATATATATATATATATAATAAATAGATAGATTCATTCAGTGTTTTTTGTTGTGATTAGCTGTGATTGGCATCAGCTAATCACATGACACAGATGGGTTGTGACTGGCCCAGTCTGTACCATGTGATCATTGTGACCACTTACAGCTAGCAACCCAATTGTACGCAATGGATGGCATGAAAGGAAGCCATCGATTGTTTACAATTGTCACGTGACCTGCCGTGATCGGTCACAGCGGTCATATGGAACTGGCAACGGGCCTGTACACAGCTCGATCATTGGCTGTACCCAGATGACAGATCTCGCCGCAGCGCTGCCCCGCAGGAAGCAATCTGACAGGACATCATATGACGCCCAACCGGATCAACAAAAGTCCTGCTTGACCATCAATTTGCTATTGACCAGGCGGGAACTGGTTAAAAATTAAAAACTGAAATATCACAGTGGCATAAGTATTCAGACCCTTTGCAACAACACTTGAAATTTAGCTCAGGTACCTCCCATTTCTCTTGATCAGTGCTACACCTTGATTGGAGTCCTCCTGTAAATTAATTTAAAAAGGCATACACTGCTCTATAAAAGACCTCACAGCTGACAAAGCATAGTGAATCAGATCAAAAGCCATGCGATGAAAGGATCTGCCTGCAGAGACACTATTCTTGCAAGGCACAGATCTGGAGAAGGCTTCAAAAACTCCTCTTGGAGTTTGCAAAAAAGCTTTTGCAAACTCCAAGCAGGCTTTCATGTGGTTTGCACTGAGGAGAGGCTTCTGTCTAGCCACTCTGCCTTAATGCCCAGATCGGTGGAGGGCTGCAGTGATGTTTGTCCATCTAGAATTTTATCCCATCTCCACACAGGACCTCTTGAAGCTCAGAGTGACCAGCAGGTTCTTGGTCACCTCTTACTTAGGGCCCTTCTACCCAATTGCTCAATTTGGCTGGGCGAACAGCTCTTTGAAGAGTCCTGGTTGTGCCAAACTTCTTCCATTTTTAAATTATGGAGACCAATGTGCTCCTGGGAACCTTCAGTGCAGCAGAACATTTTTGTACCCTTCCCCAGATCTGTGCCTTGCAATAATTGTGCCTCTGAGCTCTTCAGGCAGTTCCTTTGACCTAATTGCTTTTCCTCTGATACAGTATGCATTTGACAGCTGCTGAGGCCTTTTATAGAGAGGTGTATGCCTTTCCAAATCATGTCCAATCAATTTAATTTACCACAGGTGGACTCCAAACAAGGCGAAGAAACATCTCAGCAACGATCAAGAGAAATGGGAGGCACCTAACTTAAATTTCAAGTGTTGTTGCAAAGGAAATTGTCCAAAATGTCTTGGCATGCTGACATCTTAAGAGTTCCCTTCACTGGAACTAAGGGGCCAAGCCCAACCCCTGAAAAACAACCCTACACCATAATGCCCCCTCCACTAAACTTTACACTTGGCACAATGCAGTTAGGCAAGTACTGTTCTCCTGGCAACCGCCAAACCCAGACACGTCCATTGGATTGCCAGACAGAGAAGCGTAATTCATCACTCCACAGAACACGTCTCCACTCCTCTAGAGTTCAGTGGCGGCGTGCTTTGCACCACTGCATCCGACGCTTTGTATTGCACTTGGTGATGTAAGGCTTGGATGCAGCTGCTCGGCCATGAAAACCCATTCCATGAAGCTCTCTACACACTGTTGTGCTAATCTGAAGGCCATATGAAGTTTGGAGGTCTTTATCTATTGACGCTTCAGACATTTTGTGACTTCTACGCACTGTGCGCATGAGCATGCGCTGACCCCGCTCTGTCATTTTTCTGGCCTACCACTTCGTGGCTTAGTTTCTGTTGTTCCCAGTTGCTTCCACTTTGTTATAATACCACTAACAGTTGACTGTGGAATATTTAGTAGCAAGGAAATGTCACGAATGGACTTATTGCAGAGGTGACAACCTATCATGGTACCATGCTTGAATTCACTGAGCTCCCGAGAGCGACCCATTCTTTCACAAATGATTGTAGAAGCAGTCTGCATGCCTAGGTGCTTGATTTTATACACCTGTGGCCATGGAGGTGATTGGAACATCTGAATCCAATGATTTGGAGGGGTGCCCTAATACTTTTGGCAATATAATGTATATGCACACACAGTATATTGGTGCTTGTGTATTCTATGTATTATATAGCCTCTCACCTTGTGACTTGCTACAAAGTGGCATTGCTGCAGTTGAATATTTAGGGAGGTGAGACTCTCTGTGGCAGACTGACATCTTAGCCTAGAAAAGTATTGTAACTGGAGTGATTGCTATTTAATAGTAAAATTACAGATTTTTATGAAAAAGATACTGTAGGTGTATAATATGATGTCAGAATTTATTCATGGAAAGGTCCACTGGCACAATATTTTTTTTTTTTTTCTTTCAGTAATATCTCTGCAGACGACATGCTATATACAGAGACTGACTTGGAGGAAAGCATGGACAAAATCGAGACTATCAATTTCCATGAAGTGAAAGAAGTAGCTGGAATAAAGTTCTGGTGCTACCATGCTGGCCATGTTTTGGGAGCTGCCATGTTTATGATAGAAATTGCAGGTGTTAAAGTGAGTAATTTATTGCAGGAAAGTTATGTGTTTGCAAGACTTTATGAATTTTTTACAAGTGAATATTTTGCAGTGCTGGACCATCTTGCAGCTGTACCACTAGGTACCTATTGGAGTGCTAGTAGAAGTTTATACTTCAAATATTCTTCCTATGGAGTAGCAGGACTGTATAGGCTTTTGCATATTTATGTTGTTTGGGTGTTTATCTGCTGCTAATGCACCAACAGAGGTAGTTAACAAAAGCATGTCTTTGAAAAGTTGTTACTTTTAAGACTTGCCAATATGGCTATGGTTTTCCTTACTGGTTAAAGGAATGCTTTCCTGACCAGATCAGACTGTGTCCCTCAAGATCATAATATCAGGCTAGAACTCCACATCGGCAGCGAGAATTTGTTGATGTTAAAGTGCATTCTTAATTCAGATGGCAAATCAGCTAATAGAATCATATCAGGTTATGATTTTCCATGAAAGATTTATTTTAGATTCTCATATTGTACAGGAGACAGTTTCATGTTTACAATATGCCCAGCTGTGTAGCATTACTGCATCTATGTTGTCTCCAAATGTAAACTATATGTGAATCTATTTCCTGTGCATGTTTTACTAATATTTCAATCTCTCATTCAGATGTGAATGGCATATAATGACACTAGTGTCTTCTACTGTGTTCAAAGTTTTTATTTCCTTTTGGTTTTCTAGTTGCTGTACACTGGTGATTTCTCCAGACAAGAGGACAGACATCTAATGGCAGCTGAAATCCCAAATATCAAGCCAGATATTCTTATTATTGTACGTATTGCTTTATTTTATTTATTAGTGGACTAATTACTTGTCTGGCATGTTAAATGTAGAAAAAATAAGTGTGCTAGACTATAGTCAGTAGAAATACGATCAGGAGGATATCTGCTGTCAAAACTGGGACCTAGTCCTAGATAATCATTTTCAAAACAAAGCAATCAGCCAGCTATAAGTGTGACCGTGTCATTTATCACTCATAATGAAATTACTGTGCATCTTTAATCGCTTAATGCACCTTATACTTTTGGTTGGTGGGTTTACAATTTTTGACCTTTTCACTATCATACAGTAATGCTAAGACCCCTTGTGTCTGTTTGCAGGAGTCCACATATGGCACACACATACATGAAAAGCGAGAGGAGAGGGAAGCACGCTTCTGTAACACTGTGCATGATATTGTAAACCGAGGAGGAAGAGCTCTCATCCCTGTGTTTGCTTTGGGGAGAGCACAGGAGCTTCTGTTGATATTAGGTAAGGCAGATATTGGATACATTTTATGTAAATAGAAGCAATATCATATAACAAAAATGGTCTTTAATCTTTGCCTGAATAAAATAAGGGCTTCTGTTATTGATCTTTTGAAAATGCGAATTGATTGGCTGTTATACTGACACACTAGGTTTGCTTAATTTACTACTGACCAAGGACAATTATGTATATATTCTTTTCTGTGCTTTCCTACAGGAAAAAAAAAACAGCTGTAATGCTGCCCTAGTTATCTAAGCATTATCTCTGGTTTACACCAGTGTGACTTGACCGTTCAATGTCGCATGACAAGTTATGCCCCATTTTCAGCAGTTCAAAATTGGTGTGACTCAAGTTACCGCAACTTTGAAAAAGGTTCCTGTACTATTTCTGTGCAACTTCAATGTGACTTGCATTGACATCTGTTAAATGAAGGCACACAGAATGTCAGCAAGCTGCAATGAAATAGCACTGAATAGTCCGCTTTTGCACTGAGTACTGCAACTTCAAAGCTGCATTGGTGTTAACCAGGGCTTAGATAGACAAGTAAGAGATAATACTGGATTGCAGCATTTGTGTTGACACTTGTGTAACATTGTAGTGCGCAGTTTTAAAAAGAGCTGTCATTAGATTTGGACTTTTAACTAGAGGCAGAACTATATTTTTTTTATATATGTAGGTACTAATTAAACTATACTATTATGAATGTTCATTTTTCTTCTCCGGAATGCTCCTAAGGATTTAGCACTATATTTGTTTTGTGCTGTCTTTCTATAATAATCACTGTTTTGTGTTTTTGTATGTTCTTCCTTTAGATGAATACTGGCAGAATCACCCTGAGCTCCATGACATCCCTATCTACTATGCCTCTTCCCTGGCAAAGAAATGTATGGCCGTCTACCAGACTTATGTCAATGCCATGAACGACAAAATCCGCAAACAGATCAACATCAACAACCCCTTTGTCTTTAAACACATCAGCAATCTCAAGGTTTCATATTTATATCCATGCTGCATTTTTGTTTTTCCAGGTGGCTTAAAGTGTATGTCTAAGTGCTGGGCAGGGGAAAAAAAGCATTCAGAACATCTTTGCAAGCCATGCACATTCTCAGAGCTTTGTCACTTTAAAAATGCTGCAAATACAGACAAATGCTATGTAAACTGTCATAAAGCCATTGAGCTGTTAACTTTCTGTCATAAGCTGACTAAACTGCCTCTCCAAAGCACTGTTTTCATCCCTCTCTGAGTTTTTCCCTGCTGGACTACAAAACAACTCCCTCTCTCCTCATACCCATGACATACTGGGGAGGTAAGCAGCTGGGGAAAACATAGAATGGAGCTGACATTGCTGCTCATGATTTCAGCGCAGCAGAGGTATCTTTGTAAGTCTACTACCACTTAGGAGCTCACTGGATTTCTCTTGGGTTCAGCAGGTATTTTTTTCCTGCATTGGTGGGCTATCTTGGATGTGTTTTTTATTATTATTATTATTATTCTCAGATGTGTACTTTGATGGTATGGTGAAATACACAATAGGCTCCCTTAGTAGTCAAGTACAGTATGTAGTCAGACATAATTGTTCCTACATATGAATGCTTGGCAAAGAAGACTAGAGTGTTGTGCACAGCAGTCTATCAGTTTCTATGAAATCTTCCCAGCTGGGATGAACAGGTTTGAATGTTGTGGTGGCAGTATTAGCAAGTGGGTTTTCTGCGGAGGAACATCTACCTTAAGCCTGGTACACAAAATGAGAATATCGGATGCCTAATCGTCCATTTTTTTTTTTTTTTTTTTTGCATGCTAGTCTCATATCGAAAATCAATAGGTTACCTGAGTTACAATTCTCGTAAGACAGAATACAACTTCCCACTATGATGTAATGTATTCTTTCGTTTCCAAGCATTCACGGTCTTGGTCACTCTCTTTTTTTTTTTCTTTTTTCTTTTTTTTTTTTTTTTACAGATGAATCCTGTACTGATTTCGTGCTTGTCTCTGAATAATTTTGCATGAACTGTCTTGATCAGCTCTCAAAAGCTGTGTAGTAACGATCAAATTATTGGACGATCGCTTTGAAAGTGTTTTTTTATTTTTCCATCTGAATTTCTTGTTGTGTGTACTAGAGTTTACAGGTGTTTGGGGTTAGCCACTTAATGTGCTGAGTAATATTTGTAATCTAACATAACTTGTATTAGACCATATTATCTATGAGATTTGTTCAAGAGAGTTACTTTCAGATGTGTGTTTTTTTTTTTTTTTTTTTTTATCATCTGTTGTTCCTTCAATTAACGTGTGTGCTCAGTGTATGTTGCATTTCTGTTTTTAGAGCATGGATCATTTTGATGACATTGGGCCCAGTGTGGTTATGGCATCCCCTGGTATGATGCAGAGTGGTCTATCCCGTGAGCTGTTTGAGAGCTGGTGTACAGACAAGAGGAATGGAGTCATTATCGCCGGATACTGTGTAGAAGGCACCCTGGCAAAAGTACGTACATGAGCCATGCACAGCAATTCTGCTGGTGTGCCTGCCATTATGTAGAGGTTTCTGAAAATATACAGAATGTCAGAAATCTAAATTGTCTGCTGTGAATATTGCCTTTAACCTTTTCACTGCTAAGGCAACAAAATGTAAAAAAAATACACACACACATACACACACTTGAAAAAGTACTCATACACCTTGAAATTTTCCACATTTTGTCATGTTACAACCAGAATCATAAATGTATTTTATTGGGATTTTATGTGGTAGACCGGCAGAAAGTGGCCCATAATTGTGCAGTGGAGAAAATGATACAGTGCATCCAGAAAGTATTCACAGCGCTTAACTTTTGCCACATTTTGTTATGTTACAGCCTTATTCCAAAATGGATTAAATGTATTTTTTTCCTCAACATTCTGCAAACAATACCCCTTTATGGCAACATGAAATAAGTTAGTTTTGAATCTTTTATTTATTAAAAATGAAAAACGAAAATAACCACATGTACATAAGTATTCACAGCCTTTTCCATGACACTCAAATTGAGCTCTGGTGCATCCTGTTCCCACTGATCATCCTTGAAGTTTCCACAACTTGATTGGAGTCCACCTGTGGGTAATTCAGTTGTGATTGGACATGATTAGGAAAGGAATAAACCTGTCTATATAAGGTCCCACAGTTAACAGTGCATGTCAGAGCACAAACCAAGCCATGAAATCCAAGGAATTGTCCGTAGACCTCCAAGACAGGAATGTATCAAGGCACAGATCTGGGGAAGGGTACACATTTTTGCAGCATTGAAGGTCCCAATGAGCACAGTGGCCTCCATCATCCATAAATGGAAGAAGTTTGGAACCACCAGGAATCTTGTTAGAGTGGGCCGCCCGGCCAAAATGAGCAATCGAGGGAGAAGGGCCTTAGCCAGGGAGGTTACCAAGCACCCTATGGTGACTCTAAAAGAGCTCCAGCGTTTCTCTGTGGAGAGAGAACAACATTCCAGAAGAAAAACCATCTCTGAAGCACTCCACCAATCAGGCCTGTATGGTAGAGTGGCCAGACGGAAGCCATTCCTCAAGAAAAGGCAAATGGCAGCCCGCCTGGAGTTTGCCAAAAGGCACCTGAGGGACTCTCGGACCATGAGAAACAAAACTCTCTGGTCTGATGAAACAAAGATTGAACCCTTTGGCCTGAATGCCAAGCGTCATATCTGTAGGAAACCAGGCACCGCTCACCACCAATACCATCCCTACAGTAAAGCATGGTGGTGGCAGCATCATTCTGTGGGGATTTTTTTCGGCGGCAGGAACTGGGAGACTAGTCAGGATCGAAGGAAAGATGAATGCAGCAATGTACAGAGACATCCTTGATGAAAACCTGTTCCAGAGGGCTCTGGACCTTAGACTGGGGCGACTGTTCATCTTTCAACAGGACAACGACCCTAAGCACACAGCCCACATAACAAAGGAGTGGCTACGGGTCAATTCTGTGAATGTCCTGGAGTGGCCCAGACTTGAACCCGATTGAACATCTCTGGAGAGATCTGAAAAAAGCTGTGCACCGATGCTCCCCATCCAACCTGATGGAGCTTGAGAGGTACTGCAAAGAAGAATGGGAGAGATTGCCCAAAAATAGGTGTTCCAAGCTTGTAGAATCATACTCAATACAACTTGAGACTGTAATTGGTGCTATAGGTGCTTCAACAAAGTATTGAGCTGTGAATACTTATACTTATGTACATGTTTTTTTTTCATTTACTATCTTTAATAAATTGCAAAGATTTCAAAACTAACTTCTTTCACGTTGTCATTATGGGGTATTGTTTGTAGAATGTTGAGGAAAAAAATTAATTTAATCCATTTTGGAATAACGCTGTAGCATAACAAAATGTGGCAAAAGTTAAGCGCTGTGAATACTTTCTGGATGCACTGTAACTGGTTTTCAAAAATTTTTTACAAATAAATATCTGAATTGTGGTGTGCATTTGTATTCAGCCCCTTTTACTCTGATACCCCTAACTAAAATCTAGTGGAGCCAATTGCCTTTAGAAGTCACCTAATTGGTAAATAGAATCCACCTGTGTGTAATTTAATCTCAGTATAATTACAGCTGTTCTGTGAAGCCCTCAGAGGTTTGTTAGAGAACATTAGTGAACAAACGGCATCATGAAGGCCAAGGAACACACCAGACAGGTCAGGAATAAAGTCATGGAGATGTTTAAAGCAGGGTTAGGTTATATAAAAAAATATCCCAAGCTTTGAACATCTCACAGAGATCATCATCCGAAAATTGAAAGAGTATGGCACAACTGCAAACCTACCAAGATATGGCCATCCACCTAAACTGTCTGGCCGGGCAAGGAGAGCATTAAATCAGAGAAGCAGCCAAGAGGCCTATGGTAACTCTGGAGGAGCTGCAGAGATTCACAACTCGGGTGGGAGAATCTGTCCACAGGAAAACTATTAGTCGTGCACTCCACAAATCTGGGCTATATAGAAGAGTGGCAAGAAGAAAGCCATTGTTGAAAGAAAGCCATAAGAAGTCCCGTTTGCAAGAAGCCATATGGGGGACACAGCAAATATGTGGAAGAAGGTGCTCTGGTCAGATGAGACCAAAATGGAACTTTTTGGCCTAAAAGCAAAACTGTGTGTGGCGGAAAACTAACATTGCAAATCACCCTGAACACACCATCCCCATGGTGGCAGCATCATGTAATAGGGATGCTTTTCTTCAGCAGGACTTGAAAATTGCTTTTCACAAACTCTTTCCATCCAATCTGACAGAGTTTGAGCTGTTTTGCAAAGAAGAATGGGCAAAAATTTCACTATCTAGATGTGCAAAGCTGGTAGAGACATCCCCAAAAAAACTTGCAGCTGTAATTGCAGCAAAAGGTGGTTCTACAAATTATTGACTCCGGGGGCCTGAATACAAATGCAAGACACACTTTTCACATTTTTATTTGTCAAAAATGTTGCAAATCATTTGTCATTTTCCTTCCACTTCACAATTATGTGCCACTTTGTGTTGGTCTATCACATAAAATCCCAATAAAATACATTCATGTTTTTGGTTGCAATATGACAAAATGTGGAAAATTTCAGTGTGTGTGTGTGCGTGTGTGTTTTTTACAAAGGGGCTTCCATATCTATAGTATATTTATAGCTATTAAAATGTATATTCTTTCACTGACAATAATATAAGTATTCATGCAAGTATGGTTATGCATACAAATTCCAGGATACCATTTCTGCTTATTCAGTTAAGGTGATCTTTAGTAAATTTTCAATTCGTATTTGAGCAGATGTATGAAAAATTAAATATAGATCTTAAAGTCGGATCAAGCCCTCCTATCCTTTTCAGCCAAGGAAGCTTTTGTCTTAGCCTCTGCTTGATCTGCAGCTGCCATGGTGCTGCACATGCAATCAGTTATGGGACCAGCCATTTGATGGTTTGACAGTTTGGTTGAGAACACAAGCATTAGCATTATAACTGTTTTTTTAATCGATGGGTTTAGTTCCGCTTTAACCATTGTTATCATATTATCATTCCCCAGCATATCATGTCTGAGCCTGAGGAAGTCACCACCATGTCTGGGCAGAAGCTACCTTTGAAAATGTCTGTAGATTACATCTCATTCTCAGCACATACAGACTACCAACAGACCAGTGAGTTCATCAGGGCCCTCAAACCTCCCCATGTGGTAAGTGAATCCTACTACTAGTGTACACATCCTGTGTCTTGGCAGCATAATCTTTTTGAACAAGTAAACATTAGATTTGTGATGGAAAAACCAATGCAAGTGAATCTGTCATGAGTACCTTTCTACTAGAAGCTTCCAATGTGTGACTTACAAGCTATATACTATTTTCAGGGCAGTCATTTAAATTAGTAATTCTGAATGGGTTCCTCACCCCAAAATGAGTATACAACTTTTCTGTCAGGACTTTACCTCCATGACAGATCACCCTTAGTAAGTTATTATATTGGTAGCACACAATATGTAGCATCCAATGGAATCCCTGGTTTTGCAGATCTTGGTACATGGGGAACAGAATGAAATGGCCCGTCTTAAAGCTGCAATTATCCGGGAATATGAAGACAATGAGGAAGTTGACATTGAGGTTCACAACCCCAGAAACACAGAAGCTGTGTCTCTAAACTTCAGAGGAGAGAAGCTAGCTAAGGTAAGCTGTGATACATGTTGGGCTAAAGCACCACACACTCCTTCAGTGATGGTAATAGTGTCCTGTAGAGCTATGTAATTGACATGGTTTGTTTCCTGATGTCTCCTAGGGTGGTTTACTCCACCACTCAGTAGTCCTCTAAATTTTACATCGGGATTGTGTTACCCATAACACAATATCCCCAAAAGTTTGAGCCTTCTCACATTTTTGGGAATAAAATGGGGAAATCCTACAGGTTTCATTAAAAAAGTGCAAAAAGAAATATATGTTGTTCCTGCTAATTCAGAGATGTGCTGTGCATTCTGCAGTATACTCTGCCCTTGCATATACAGAGATACAGTCCATAAACATAGTAGAGCACCAGGAGGTTCTATTGGCACAGCCGCAAAGAAGCCTTGTTGCACTTCACACTACAGCACTAAAGTTGGCCATAGATGGATTGTAATTTGTCCGGTTCAGCAGGGACTTGTTGAGTTTCAGTCCATCTGTGGCCATTCCCACTTGACAGAATGCTATCTAATGATCAAAATATTTGCAATGGGAATGTTGAAAATGTTTCTTTTGATCAATGGCTGCAGCGCTGATCAGTATATGCTGACAGTAGAGGAGTCAGCACTGTCAGAGTACAACAGCACAGAGAGGAGATTTCCTCCTACCACCTTGCCTGTGTGTATGGGAGAATCCATTTTTTTTTTTTTTTGATCACTCCTTTGGCTGATCGAAACAAAATTACCCATCTATGGGCAGCCTTAGTCATATGGGCCTCATGACTTGGCACGATAGCACAAAAGACATCAAGGCTTTTTTGCTGCTGTGGTGCATTGGATACACAGCTCACCAAACCTGAAGAGCCAGGAAATAGGAAGGGGTGTGGTTACTAACCGTACAGTAATTGTGCTAATGATCTAAGCTCAGTAAAGTACTTATCTTGGTCTAAAACACATAATTTATCCCTATGTTGAGAAGAGAAGAGATAATGTTTAGCAAGAGACAATGGGGCAGGGCTGATGTTTTAAAATGTAACTATCCAAAATTTAAAAAAAAAAAGTTTTGCTATTAAAGTGGAAAGAGATTAGAACACCTGTCAGTTTTTATTGCTGTCTGTGTTCCCGTTAAGGAGATTCACCCTCTCTATTTGTCCTGTTTACCATTATCAGTGAAAGTAAAAGAAAATCCCATATTTTGGGTTGTCCCCAGAAAGGTAATACAGGGGAAATCTTCCAATGGGGACTCTAGTTCTGGTGACCTGGGGGTCCCCAAGAGATTCCCTTTTTGCAGGGCTTTCCTCTCACTTCCTGTTTTTCTATGGGTCAGGAAGTAAAGGGAAAGCTTCGCAATGGGACACAGCAAAAAATAAAAATATGGCAGGGGTTATAACCCTCCCTTGCTCTATCCAAAATGAAATAAAGGTTTTGCCTATAGTTCTACTTAAGTCCAGAAAGGGAACAACAGAAATTAGGAATTTAAATTTAATTTCCAGCAGATCAAATGATATTTTTCTGTACCTGCAGGGTCTTTAAATTGCATGCAGACCCTAACAGTGAACATTTTTTTCTACCTCATTGGTCTGTAAAATTTACTGTTAAGAGTTTTTAGTTGTATCTGTTGATCCCGTTGATCATGCCAGATCTTGTGTCATTCCAAGAAGTCTTCTTAGCCTCCTTAGTTCTTATCTCAGACTACAGAATAATTACTGTATGTGGTGTAGAGAGGAGTACAAAAGGAAGGATTAAGTAGTCTAGCAAAAAACAACTGGGACACTGCGCAGTCTAAAAAATGCTGTGTGTGTTGTCAGTCCACAACAGTGGTTAGTAGCTGAGTGCTTATCTGGCCGGCAGATCAAGTTATTTTTGTGTGTTTCCAGGGTCTGTAAAGATAAAACATGCGGAAATGTTCAAGTATTGCATGTTATATAACTTTGTTCTTTTTTTTTTTTTGTGCTGTGACACACACTTTAAAAACATATTTGCCAAAAGAAACTCCCATTGGGCATGCAGCCACTAATATTGCTTTTCAGTATTTTAAATTAAGAAGCACTGCTACTTTTTTTTTTTTTTTTTTTTTTTTCTTTTTCAAAAAGGTGATGGGCAGTCTTGCAGATAAGAAACCAGAACAAGGTCAAAGGATTTCGGGTATCCTTGTTAAGAGAAACTTTAACTATCACATCCTTTCTCCAAGTGACCTTTCCAGTAAGTGCATTTGCAAAATTCTTCCTTGTAGTAGTTGCACAATAAAATAATACCTGTGTTGTCCATTATATATTAGATACTGCAGATTATAACCAATCAATCAAATGTTCACACCGCAGGTCATTTTTATACTATACAATGGAAAGGTGAATATTGCCCTTTTACTGCCTTCCTACAGCCCTATTGACAATAAAGACTGCAGGAAGGTGGTTGGCTAATTCTGGAGTGCCGTCTAATAATGACACTGTGAACCGAGCCATCACCAGGCAAGGTGTACAGAGCGGATCACAAAATGTAAACAGAGCAAAAGAAATGGCAGATTCAGGGTAGGAGGGTGTTTGATTGTAGAATTGTTTTGAACCTTTCCACATTCCCCACCACAACCACCCCCCCTGCCCTCACTCCTGTACATCTGATCTCACTCTGTCACTATCTGATCTTTGTATTAACCCCTCACCTCCATTATCCTGTAAATCTGAACATTACCACCTTCATCTCCGTCATCCCACTGTATGCGACCAATACATTAACCTCCCTTCCCCTTCTCCTCCACTGTCCACTGTGTATGACATATGATGCTGCTATATCTTATGCATCATTAATAAGCTTCATGTTTGAACCATCTCAGTTCCAGCATGTTTCTTCATTTCCAAAACAATTGCAGCAAGAAATGAATTTACCAGAGAGTGTCTACTTTCCAAAAATGTATAATTTGGGGGGTGTTCATACTGTTTTGAAATTTTATTTTCTGTGTTTTAAAACAATAACAGACAGTAATGCCCCTTACACACGATGAGACTATCGGATGAAAAATTAATCATCTGATCCTTAGTACACTCCCGAATTTGTATTCTGTTGTACGAAAATTTTCGGAACTTAAGTAACCTCTTCATTTTTGATATGAGACTAGCATGCAAAGAAAAAATGGACCATTCGTCTGATATTCTCATCGTGTTTACCAGGCATAAGGGAAACTTGACGCTGTGTAGAGGCAACAGCTGAACTATAGGTTTATGCATGTGACACCCACTGGCTGAGTTTTATATCATTCAAGGTTGGCACAAATGTCATACTTGGGAGGTGTAAGTATACTGCGAGATGCAACCTTACTGCCTTCAGCAAGAAACTGATGTCACTCTTGAGTAAACATACCATTCCCAATAATATGCCCTTTATGTATGTAATTATTTTTTAAAATTATTTCAAAGGTTTTACTAGCCAATCATTTTTTCAATATTTCCAATACTTGATGTAGTTCATTGTGGGTGTTGGATGATGTTGGGCACCTGAGCCAAGCCATGTGTATCTCTGCTTAGTGTCTGCTTAATGCATGATATTCTGTATTAAAGTAGCCTTTTTTTTCTCTACAGGTTACACTGACCTGGCCATGAGTACTGTAACCCAGACACAAGCCATTCCATATACTGGCCCCTTTAACTTGTTATCTTACCAGTTACAGCAGCTCACGGGTGAGTTCAGTAAGCAGCTTTAATTCTCTGAATGTTGTTAGGGGGACACAGGGGTCCTATAAGTCCTGTACCTAAGAGGACAGACAGTATGTATAAATACAGAAAGGACACTACTTCTGCCCTCTCTGTAGTAAGAGAGAGATCAGTTTTAGTTAAGTGCTGAGGAGGTAAAATATTGCATTAGAAAATGGTCCTTCCAAAAAAAAAAAAGATACAGATGATAATATTCCTACAGTGGTCTGTGTGTGCTTTTTCTAAAGTCCACTAAAAATGGATCTTTCCCTGTGAAATATAATATTTCCAGCCTACCTTTCATTAACCTCATTATTTAGTATCCAAATTTATTTTTGCCAAATTTTTGTTGATCTACAAAAATGTTTTTCTCCATTCAGGGGAAGTGGAGGAGATTGAAATGAATGATAAGGACTGTTTAAGAGTCTTTAAAGCAATCACTTTGATAAAGGAACAAGGCATGGTGATGCTGGAGGTAAGAACCATCTACTCAATCTTATTTAAAGAAACCCTGGGCTGAGAATAATAAGAGGCTGTCATTTCTGACCTCTCCTTTTGAAAATGCTGGTTGCATTACAGATATGCAGATCTATGGTGTTCAATCATTTCCAAATCACTACTCCAAAATAAGTTTGTAGGTCATTTGTTCTGGGCTCACTTTCTGCATGCTGCTGTTGCAGGTCAGTGACACATTAAAATTTCATCAGCATAATAGCTAACCAACTATCATTTTCAGAAGGAATTTATCTCAGCCCTATTTTTTATTTAAGCAATGAATCTCATTTAAAAACAATATTACATAATCTGTTTGACATTTCTTCCTGTTAGTGGGTGGCCAATCCGACGAATGATATGTATGCGGACACTGTTGCCAGTGTCATCCTGGAACTGCAGTCCAACCCCCGGTCACATAAAGGTATTACTGTCAGATTTGTTTTTTTTTTCTCTTCTTTTCTTTCCCCTTCTCTTTTACTCTGTGTAACTTGAAGCCCAGCATGGGGCTTGCCCCACTGGCAGTACTTTATACTATTTTGTTTAATTTATTTTATTTTTTTATGATAATTAATAAGTACCTAAACCTATTAGAGCAAAATACAATCCAAATAATATGCAGTAGTTATGGGTATAAGGGACTCCACATTTGAAATGGGGGATGAGGGAGCAGTTACCAGAAAATGGCTGAGGGAGGTGGCATGGAAAGGTTCACTTCTTTGGAGGTTGCAGCTTCTGAGGTCCCTGAAATATTTGCTCCAGCCTAGAGGAAGTTGAGGGGTCCACATAGAAGTTACCTGAGGGGTCCATACATTTAGCAAATTGTGAAAGAGTACAGGGATAACGAGTATGCCTGTTGTTCCGTGGGACTGAAGCATTAAACCTTGTTTCTTAGGATACATTTCCAATCATTTCAGTCGTAGTGAAAATAAGGATGTAAGGTGAGGGGAGAGAAGTATTCATTTTTTTTATTACCATTTGCAGAAGTCTTTAGGCCACTCATGTGCTGCTGGGTCCTCTTCTCTTCCCTGGGCTTGAAGGTCCTCAGTGATACAGAGAGCGATGTGGATATGATGACATTAGCATTACTTTCTGCATCATTACACTGAGTTTGAGACGCCTAAGTGATGCGCCCTCATTTTTTTATTTTTTTTCGGGGGGGGGGGGGGGGGGGGGGGGGGGGTAGATGAACTGTATTTTTATGTTGGTCAAAGAGAGATGGAAGAAAAAATGATCCTGATATTGAACTGCATTTGGATATGTAACAAGTAACTGCTTCAGATTAAGCCAATCAACTTGGTGCTAGTATAGTGCTGAAAAGCTACTTGGCATATGAATGCAATCTCCCTGCATTGTTCTCTGTCAGAATGTAACTCAAGTGATCAGTGTATCAGGCTCCCCAGATTTGGTTAGGCAATTGGTCTTGTATCTATGAGAATGTAAAATGCGTTAAAACTGGAGTGGGCTGTGTCTCTGAAAGAGGATTGTTATTTATTGTTACAGCTGCGTCACACAGATCTAGTAAAGAAGTTGAAAAGGAAGCCTACTATAAAAGACTGGAGATCATGCTGCAGTGAGTATGAATAAATGGTGGCTTCATGTTTCCTTTTAAGGAACTACTTCAAGCAAATCACTAAATGTCAAATCACAGGGGCAACTCTCCACGCCTGCCTGAGGATTTGGTATTCTGCACAGTCAGTCTTGTGAATTGCACTCTCTTACCACACTGAATAGTTAGGCAGCTAACAACCCCAATTTTTGGTTCTGGTTAGCAGCTTGCCATACCTTTCTGGCTCTAGTGAATCAGCATGACCATCATTTCTGCATGTCACCAAGGAAGCAAAGTCTAAAACCGAAAACACCAAAGTATTCTGCCTATGCAGTGTGGCAGAAGTATGTGCAACACAAAACTGGCTGAATAAAACTGCAAATCATCATTTTAGGTATAATCATTTCAAATACAAACATTGTATGTTTAACTGTTTGCTTTTCCTCCTTAAGACAACGTGGATCAATGTGAATCCTTGGTTTCAATTTCTCACTGCTGAGCTGCTACAAAGACAATAGATGTATGCATGTAATTACCAAAGAGAATTCTAGTGTATGTAAAACAGAGCTGAGCAGTCTCAAGAATTAGGTAGAGGCTTAAAGCAGACGAAATCCAAACATAAAATATAGTTATGGACACCCCCCAACTGCACCCTGCCCTTACCTAGACTAGTACCAAAACACTTACTTTAGTAGGTTAGGGCTTCTTCCACTTTACAAACACATAGTCACAGCATGGTTGGGATCAGTGTCAAGGCACTAATTGGCTGCCCAACAGCTCACATAACTCAAATTTGGAAAAGGTGGATGCCCTAAATGAAATCCTAACATGCCTAAAGCTAAGTACAGAAGACCATTTGCTACTTGGCTGGGTTAGGGATCAGTGAGGGAGTGGAAATACCTTTTTATTTTTGTGTTTAGGTCCACTTTAAAAAAAAAAAAAAAGTTCAAATCTGAAACAGTTTTACTAGCTTCGGGAAGAACTGTTTAAATTGACAATTTTGTTTCTAAACTTCAAATGGGTGGCCGATATGTAGATGAGCTAATACATTAGACCAGATGCTTGGTTTTTGTCTTTTTTTTGTTAGATCATTGGGCGTAAGTTGTAGCCAGACTGTGTCTGTGGCTGCTCTCATGTTAGCCATACATGTATAGGTTCACATTCACAGGCTGAACATTAGAACTCTAATAGATTCATCCATCCACACTATAAATAGCATGGATGAAGAAATATTTTCCTGCCAGGTATTGTATTCAACAGATGGCGGTATCTGTGGTTGCTAATTATGTGAATAGTGACTGCATCTGATTGGATGAAGTCACTGTTTGGCCAGCATTGCTCCATCCACCTCGTCTGTCAAAGTTGATAAACTTTTTTCAAGCTGAGTGGTGCCAACTGGACTACTCAGAGTTCAAATTTTGGCCAATTCCTGCTAAAATGTAAAGCCTATATGGCCAGTTTCTGTATTATAACTTTACTGACAGATGAGGCATACAAAGAAAAGCTTCTGTTAGTTTCTGTATTAGAGCTGGGGGGTTACATAAAGGGTTGTTTTTGCTCTTTGAATCCTGACCTGCCCTATAAAATAGCACGGTAATGTTTCAAATTGTGGTTAAAGAAGTACTTGTACTTTCTTCGCATTGCCTTCAGTGTAATTGTTGCTTGTCTTGGGGCTCTGAAATTTTAACTGTATCTGGAATTCTAGATAAGTGATATAATCTTGTACCACAATTTCCTACTTCTGTTGTAATTTTATTTCATTTCTAATAACATCTACTGTTTTTTGTTTTTTTAATCTTATAAGATTTATAGTTTGGGTGTTCATAGATATTATTTATCTCCTAGATTGTAAGCTCTAACGAGCCGGGCCCTCTGTTTCCTCTTGTACCAAATTGTATTGTAACTGTAATGTCTACCTTCACTTTGTAAAGAGCTGCACAGCAAATTGTTGGCGCTATATAAATCCTGTATAATAATTTTAAAAGAATCTTTCTTCTGCTCTTGCCTGTCAGGGATATGTTTGGTGAGGAGTGTGTGAGTAATAACAATGGCTCCACCATCACCGTGACTGTGGATGGTAAGACGGCCGTCTTATCTCTGGAAACAAGGGTAGGTGGTTTATAACCAATAATGTCTTCTCTCATAAACCAACACTGCTCCCCTGGGATTGTAAATCAGTGTCAATCACTGAACTACTGTTTGCAGAAGCTGGTGTTCTGGCTTCTTCTCTTCCCAGTGCCGTACTCTTACTGATTTGTGCATTTTAAGGGGGTAAGAATGGTAGGTTGGTGTGATTTTACTAAGCAAGCAAAATACATATATGGGCTTATTCCTTAACTGGTTTAAAAAAAATCTTCAGTGATTCATAGCAGCCAATCAGATTTCATTATGTTTCCACTGTAGCAGACCATTCCATAACTATGGGATAGTGGGGGGCAGGTGTTTGAAATATCTTGGCTGCATGACCATTTCCAAACAGTAATTATATAATTAAGTGTTCTTGCATGGCAAGACCACTTACTGTTATCTCACATATATATTCTATTATAGCCAAATTTACCACCCTAACTCCTCCCCCAGTTTTTACACTACATAGACAGTAATATACCGAAACGTGCGGATTGTTCCCGATTGATGTGCTATTACTTTGTGGAACGTTTCGCCGAATGGTTCACGAAATATTGGCGTTTTTGTGGTGAAATTGGTCCCATAGGAATGAATGGCGGAATGTTCAAAACTAGAGTGGGAGCTGACAAAAGCTAGAGTGTGAGCTGAAAAATCAGGACATGATTTCTAAACTGCCATCACTCCCTCTTTGTCAAGCCCACCTACACAAATCTTATATCAAAACGTTCAGCTATCCCTGCTGCCACTAAAAATGTCCACGGCTAAGCCATATTCCTGATAGTTTTCACAATATGACCATTTGTTTGCAACTCATGCCGCCCATTGACATTCATTGAAACTCCACTCTAGCCACCTCAAATTTGAAGGGCAATTTCTAAACTGCGACTGTGCCTTCATTTTTAATATTTCAGAGACATACTATGCATCAAAATGTAGGTCTGGGTCTTGTGATTCTCACAATATAAAGCTCTTCGGTGTAGGCTTTAAAATTTTTAAACTACAACCGTTTGAAGATGGCAACCGCCAGTGAAGTGAGCAAGTTGGAGCAGTTTGTTTTTAACCGCTCTTCTCTTCCCTTGCTGTAGAGTGAGTTGCCATAGGAACCCAGGTGTGTGAGCAGGCAGCAGAGTGACAAAAGCTAGAGTGTGAGTTGTAGACTACTGGTGGAGGCAAGAAACACTTCAGACAATTTCCCCAGAAAGTTTAGCTTTTCTAGTTGTGGTTGTACCCAAAGGACCCAGGGCACCTACGCTGATGTGCGTTTCACATTCTGTAAAGATTTACAGTACCATGTTTCATTAAACATTCTCATTTGATATATTTGATATATTTCTGGAATTATTTTTATGCTTTTATCAACTTTTATTAATAAATTCAATATCATCCCCAATGTAGATGCCAAAGAGCTTCCAGTGCAGTGTATTACCCAGGCAGCTCGCTGTCCAGAGCTGGACATTTCTTCAGGTGGGAAGCCTGCCAGGAAAGCCAAAGGGAAACAATGGACAGCTGCAATATGCCTCCCCTTCCCCTATGGCCATGAATAATCTGGCCCATTGCACTCCATACACATTTAAAGCCAGTAGGTTTATAGGCACTTGGAAGGGGTCAGAGGCTTAAGAATGTAAATGTTACGCAAGCAATTTTGTCATTACATGATTTTGTGCAATCTTATGCTTAATAAAATGTCACTGCTGTTTCATTCCTTAGACTGTGGAAAGTGAGGAAGGACTGGATGAAGATGAGACACTGCGGGAATTGGTACAGTTGGCAGCACAGAGATTATACGATGCTCTCGGTCCAGCAAACCTTTAATGTCATGTGATCTACATTTGATTTTGAAATCCTTTAACTTAACTAAAGTTGTTTTTTTAGTACATATTGTATACATGTGAGTTTATGAATTATCCTGTAAATCATAAAAACAAATGATATCACATGTTTTAGTGATGTTAAAGACTCCTACATAGGCTGCATTCCAATGAATAGTTGTTCCGCCTACAAGATGACTATCTCCTTAGGATGGAATGGAATACTGGAATTTCAAGTTCTTCTTCATGCAAAGGTTGTTCATTCGTAGTGTATAGACTATATGTGTTCTTGAGTCCATTTGCACTGAGTGAGTTAAACCAAATGTGTTGTTAGAAAAAAACAAAACACAAAACTCTCGCCGCACCCTTTACTAGGTATCTTCTGGTGCTTATACTTGGCTCTACCACCACTCAGAAATATACCAGTAGATACAAATTTGGGGGAGAACATTACATACTGTGAGCTCTCAAATTGGGGCTTGGGGTATGAGCAGCCAATCACCAGGCCCTATGTATCCTTATCAATATTGCATGGGGATAAAAGTGATGAAGGAGGCGACGTTGGTAGATATAGGCCAAGCACAGAATTAGGAATTGGGTTTTGGGATTTGTTATAACAGGTTTATTGTTCAATAGTCTTTATTGGGTTTAACAAGTGGTAAAAGTTTTACCAGTTACAAAAAAGTTCTGACATGACTAGCACAATGCATGTTAATAAAGTAGTTACAAAATTACAGTACAGTGTCTGGTAGTATTTCAGATTGAATTTGACAGACTTGTATCTCTACAAAAAAATGGCAACCACCTCAACCTATAACCAGCCTTTGCAGCAAGGTGCACATGGAAGCACATTGCAAACAAACAAAAGATTTCCCAGCACACTTACCAGTCAGCCTTCAAAATAACCGTATTGTCCCGGTCTTAACAGTTTACATTAAAAGCAGAGGGTTTTGCAAATCTATGCATTAGCTGCAGTTACTCCGGGTTATGCATATATTTGGAAATGTGTACAAACAAATCGCTCTGTTTTTAACATAAACTGTTAGACAGGGTCAATGCACATAATGGGTAAGTGAGCGCTCCTAGATCACTACAGCTGCTGAACACCGAAAGGTACCACAAAACAACCTTCAAAGAATCATGTAAACTAAAAGGTGCAGCGCTTAAAAATAACACAGATATAGCATCAACATATGATCAGAATATACAAAAGTGCTTCAAAAGTTATGCGATAATCACAAAAAAACACATATATAAGTGCATGTAAAGTGCAAAAATAATGAGCATATAATATCATTAGTGTCACATTAATGTGACCAATCAAGTGATAAGTGAGGAAAAAAAAGTCCAACAATATCCCAGTGGGTTAGGTGATTGGAAAACAAAAGAGATTCCAGCAGTATAATCTGAGCGTGATAGTATCCAAAACTGATAAAAGATTGCGCACTCACCGAATGCACAATCAGTATGCGCATGTAAGAGATACCCCTCTTAATGTTAGCTCAGGAACTCACTCCAGGATAGGGTCAGGTTTACTGTTGTCCTCTGTCTGCTCAGCTATGGCTCTGGTCTCCTAGTGTGCGGCTCTGTGGGTAGTGAGAAGCTCCCAGGGAGCCCCAGAAAAAAGGAGGCCCAAATAGCGTGATATTGCTTCCAATAAGATGAATTTATTGATCCAGCAGAACATGGTACCATGTGGGTGCCGGCGGCCATCTTGGATACCTTATACGGTCAGTAGCTGTCATTTCATGTTCTGCTAGATCAATAAATTCATCTTATTGGAAGCAATATCACGCTATTTGGGCCTCCTTTTTTCTGGGGCTCCCTGGGAGCTTCTCACTACCCACAGAGCCGCACACTAGGAGACCAGAGCCATAGCTGAGCAGACAGATGACAACAGTAAACCTGACCCTATCCTGGAGTGAATTCCTGAGCTAACCTTAGGAGGGGTATCTCTTACATGCGCAATCTTTTATCAGTTTTGGATACGATCACGCTCATATTATACTGCTGGAATCCAGTTGGTTTTCCAATCACCTAACCCACTGGGATATTGTTGGACTTTTTTTCTCACTTATCACTTGATTGGTCACATTAATGTGACACTAATGATATTATATGCTCATTATTTTTGCACTTTATATGCACTTATATATGTGTTTTTTCATGATTATCGCATAAGTTTTGAAGCACTTTTGTATATTCTGATCATATGTTGATGCTATATCTGTTATTTTTAAGTGCTGCACCTTTTAGTTTACATGTTAGACAGGGTCAGTTCAGTTCTTTTGCAGGCTGGCTGGCAAGTGTGCTGGGATATCTTTTGTTTGAGATTTGTATATCTGGCTTTACAGATAATGGGACTGTAAGTAAATTATCTCAGAAAGGGGAAAAAGGAGTGGGGGGGTTGAATACAGCATATTGTATTATTTATTCTCAAGATTTAAACTTCTCTTGCCTCTGGCTGTTTCTACTGTCTACCAGGTATACTTGCTGTCAAGCATAAAAAAACATCCAATCACAAAATAGTAAGAAAGGGAAAAAGCGATGTAAAGACTGGTGTCAGGGGATGAGGTCATGGTGTCTGAGGGGAGAATTTACTGCATTTCCATATAATAGGCAGGTGCTGTTTTTCAGATAAATGAGCCCAAATGTTCTGTTCTACTGAGTATAAATGCCCATTTTTCATTTTTGTTATTAAAATGGCTGTAAAGATGAGTCCTATTTCTTCCAGACTGGTATGCATTCAGATAAACATTGCTCTGCTGTCTGAAAAGTTGCAATCTAGCCCACATGGGCGTCTTAAAATATCTTCCAGGCTGTAAATAATTTTTTGTTATGAATGCCTGATCTGTGAATAATTATCAGCAAATTAATAAATATTTTATACAGTAAGAGTCTATCATTTTGTGTGTTTTGTTTTCAAGCTCTCTTTTGTTTATATTATTATCCTGATATAAGAATGTACTGTAAATTAGGTGTTGTTTGGACAATCTGTGGAAAGTCACCTATGTCAACTTTACTATAACAACCAATCATTTTTCTTGCATTTGAAAGGTGAAATATGATTTGTTATAGGACATTTCTGCTGATTTTATGCTCTATTGCTTATGAAGCTGTTTCATATCAAGAAAAATTTACTCGGGGTAGCAAATGAAAAGTCTATGTTTGCAGATCCCTATAAAAGGA